AGCTGAGGAGGGGCCCAAGAGTCTGCATTTCTCACCACACCCAGGTGTTGCTGTTGCTGCTGCTAAAGATGGCCACATTTTGAGGAGTAGATTTTCTGAGTGTGTTACTACTACAGGGACTTAGATAGTTACTCTATTGGAATTATAAAACTTGAAATGTGCAGAATTCCCAAAGTTGCCGATATAAAAAAATATCAACGAATACAACTGTTTGTAGTGACTGTACAACTTAAGAGAATTTTGAGAACCTGTTTCCTATGCATAGCAAGAAGCCTATTGTGGGGTAGTATTAATCCTAAAGCATGCAAATCTTCAGTTAACTGGGGAAAAAAATCCAGTGAGTTGGAAAACCTCATTTTACAACCTATGTTGGTTAAGTCTGTTCTTTTCTAGGCATGACAGCCTTCTGAATAAATTCATTATTTATTTATGATACCCTAAATCTCAGTTGTGATTACCTCCCTGCATATCAGCCCCCCTGGCAGTATGGCAGATTAGATACACACAATATCTCTTCCTATGAATGAATGAATGAATTAAAATGCTGCATAGAACATCAACAACATCTGTTTAACAACTGTAGATCCAGCTAGGGAGGCTGAGGGAGGAGAACTTCTTGGGCTCAGGAGTTCAGGCCAAACCTAGGCAACATAGAAAGAACCTGTCTCAAAAAATAAACAAACAAAAAACCCTGCTTAAAATACAAGCATGGTATCCCCAATGCCACAAAATATACATAATTTAAAAGTACATAAGTGCATATACACAAGCATGGGTGCAGAAGCCTGTTTTAAACTATCCAATGGTAGTGGACAATTTAGGAATCTCTCGCATTACTGTGTGGCTTCTGGGCAGACACTGACTGCCTTTGTCCCATAATCTTTTTACTAATTTGTCCAAGTATACCTTGTTTTACTGTGCTTCACTTTATTGTGCTTCAAAGATAAGTTTGGTTTGGTGTAGTTTGGTTTGGTGCTGAAGATTGAACCTCCAGTATGCTAAACACGTGTTCCACCACTGAACTACACCCCGCAGCTGAGTCGTTTACAAATTGAAGGTTTGTGGCAATGCTGAACCAAAAAGTCTGTAGGCTAGGCACCATTTTTGCAACAGCATGTATTCTCTTCACATCTGTGTCACATTTTGGTAATGCTTGCAATATTAAATATTTTTCATTATTATATCTGTTATATGATCTGTGATCAGTGCCTTTTGTTTGGTTGCAGGATTTTGGTTTTTGGTTTTTGTTTTGGGGACAGGGTCTTGCTACATTACCCAGGCTGTCCTCCAATTCAAGATCCTCCTGCCTCAGCCTCTGAGCTTCTGGGATTACAAGTACCACTGCACCCAGCTGTGATCTGTAATTTTTTTTTCTTTAAATGTTTTTTTTTTTTTTTTTTAGTTGTAGATGGACACACTACTTTTTTTGTTTATTTTTTTATTTTTTTATGTGGTTCTAGGATCAAACCACACCCGTCCCCCCCCCATTTGTTACTATTTTATATTGTTACTATTTTAATTGTTCTGGGGTACCATGAACTGCATCCTTATAAGAGAGTTAATTTATTTATTTTTATTTATTTATTTTTGATAGTAAGGGTTGAACTAAGGGGTACTTCACTATCAAACCGTATCCCCAGATCTTTTTTTTTTTTTTTTAGTTATAGGTGGACACAATGTCTATATTTTATATTTATGTGGTGTTGAGGATCCAACCCAGTGCCTCACACATGCTAGGCAAGCACTCTACCTCTGAGCCACAATCCCAGCCCCTCCCCAGATCTTTTTATTTTTTATTTTGATACAGGGTCTTGCTGAGTAGCTGAAGGTCATGCTAAATTACTGAGACTGGCTTCAAACTTGCAATCCTCTTGACTCAGTCTCCCAATCACTGGGATTATGGGTGTGTGCCACCACATCCAGCCTCAGTCCTTTTTTATTTTGCAACAGGATATTATTAAATTGGTGAGGGTCTCACTAAGTTGCTGAGGTTCATCTTGAACTTGAGATTTTCCTGCCTCAACCTCCTTAGCCCCTATAATTTTAATATATATATTTTAGTTGTAGTTGTACATGATACATTTATTTTACTTATTTATTTTTTATGTGGTGTTGAGGATCTAACCAGGGCCTCACACATGCTAAGCAAGCGCTCTACCACTAAGCCACAACCCAAGTCCTCCTTAGCCCCTATTTACAAGCAAGTACCACTATACCTGGCCTAGAAAATGGTTTCTTGAGATGAAATCTTCTTCTGTGATGAACACTGTTGATATGACAAGAAAAGATTTTAAAAATATAAATTTAGTTGATAAGCAGTGACAGAGTTTGGGAGGATCAATTCCAACTTGAAAAAAAGTTCTACTGTATGTAAAATGCTATCAAATAGCCTGGTGCAGAAGTGCATGCCTATAATCCTAGCAGTTCTGGAGTCTGAGGCAGGAGGATCATAAACTCAAAGCCAGCTTCAGCAACTTTGTGAGACCCTAAGAAACTTAGCAAGATCCTATCTCAAAATCAAAAAATGGGGGAAAAATAAAAAAGAAAAAGGCTGGGCATGTGGCTCAGTAGTAAAGCACCTCTGAGTTCAATCCCTGATACCTTAATTAAGTAATGCTATCAAATAGCATTGCATGGCACAGAGGATTCTTTCATGAAAGGAAGAGTTAACGATGGAGCAAACTTCATAATGGTTTATTTTTCAATGCTAGGGATCAAACCCAGGGCCTCATACATGATAAGCAAGTGCTCTACCATTGAGCTACATCCCCAGTCCTGGTCTTATTTTTAGAAATTGCCATGGCCGGGCTGGGGATGTGGCTCAAGCGGTAGCGTGCTTGCCTGGCATGCGTGCAGCCTGGGTTCAATCCTCAGCACCACATACAAAGATGTTGTGTCCACCGAAAACTAAAAAAAAATAAATATTAGAATTCTCTCTCTCTCTCTTTAAAAAAAAAAAGAAAGAAATTGCCATGGCCATTCCAACCAACAGTAGCCACCACCCTGATCAGTCAGAAGCCATCAACATTAAAATAAGATTCTCCACCAGAAAAATAGTTTATGATTCACTGATGTTCCTTATGACTGTTACCACATTTTAGTAAAATGGTGTTTTGTTGTTATGCTTTTTTGGTGCTGGAGATTAAACCAGGGCCTTACAAAAGCACACATTCTACCAGTTAGCTACATCCCAAGTCCCAATAAAATATTTTTCAGTCAAGTATCTACATTGTTTTATTAGATATGTTATTGCATACTTAGTAGACTCCAGTACCGTGTAAACATAATTTTATTTATTTATTTGTTTGTTTGTTTATTTATTTATTTATTTATTGGTACAAGGGATTGAACCCAAGGGCTTTAACCACTGAGCCACATCCCTAATCCTTTTTTATGTTTTATTTTGAGACAGGATCTCCCTAAATTACTTAGGGTCTCACTAAGTTGCTGAGACTGGTTTTGAACTTGGGATCTTGCTGCCTAAACCTCACTGGCTGCTGGGATTACAGGTGTGCACCACTGGGCCCAGCCCAAACAGATCTTTTTTTTTTTTTTTTTTTGGCATGGGGATTGAGCTCAGGGCCACTCAACCACTGAGCCACATCCCCAGCCCTATTTTATATTTTATTTTAGATACAGGGTCTCACTGAGTTGCTTAGCACCTCACTAAGTTGCTGAGGCTGGGATTCCAAACAGATCATTTTTAAAATTAAAAATTATCAAAAAGTATTTGTATTCTTGCATTTGCCAGGAACTGAGGTTGCTTTCAATTACACTGATTGAAAATGATGTTGCTGAAAGTATAGACTTTGGTGACCTAATGAATGAATTTGCAGAAAAGCAAGTCAAAAACCTTATGATCCAAGTATCACATTAATATAGTATTATTTATTTTTATGCAAAACTATGACACCAAAATGTTTTATTAATTTATGTATTTGTTTCAATGTGTTATACATGATAGCAGAATGCATTTCAATTCAGAATATACAAATGGGACACAATTTTTCATTTCTCTGGTTGTACACAAAGTAGAGTCATACCATTTGTGTCTTCATACATGTAACTAGGGTAATGATGTCCATCTCATCCCACCATGTTTCCTACCCCCAGGCACCAAAATGTTTTTGTAATTAGTTTATATTATTCCTATGTAGCATTATTAACCCTATTACATTTTATAAATAATAAAATAGTTTTAAAGGAAAAAGATTTGTTTTAGTATCCTTAATGGCACTATTTCCCACTTTTTGAAAAAATGTCCTCACATTTTCATTTTGCAATGGTTCAACAAATTGTTTAGTTAACTCTGAATCCATGGCATGTATAGCAGTCAGGGTTCTACCAGAGAAAGAAAACCATAAATACATATATAGGGAGAAAGATAAGAGAGTTCCCTATTTCTAGTGGGTGAACTTATATTTCATCTTTACAATGATTCAAAAGCTATACACATTCAGGAGAAGTTGTACTTTAATTTTGATTTCTAGCTCTATCAAAAAAATAAAAAAGAAAGGGGAAAAAATATTTTAAAAAATTATGATTTCCAACTTTTTTTTTTTTAACCTGGGATTAAACCTAGGGGCGCTTAACCACTGAGTCACATCCCCAGCCCTTTTTTATATTTTATTTAGAGGCAAGGTCTCACTGAGTTGCTTAGGGCCTCGCTGAATTGCTGAGGCTAGCTTTGAACGTGTGATCCTCCTACCTCAGCCTTCTGAGCTGCTGGGATTATAGGCATGCGCTGTCCTGCCTGGCTTGTTTTTCAACATTTTTGATTGTCTCTTTCACAGAAACATGTAATTGCCTCATTCCTTTACAAATTCAAAAATTCGTTTTACTGTTTAAATATGGTTTGTGACAAAGAGCTTACTTAAATATAGAATGTTTTTAAAGTATTATTAAAAGTGTTGGGCTGGGGACATGGCTCAGTTGGTAGAGTGCTTGCCTCGCATGCACAAGGCCCTGGGTTCAATCCCCAGCACCACACACACAAAAACAAAGTTAGTTCATTTTAATATACTGTTTAAGAATATTAATCACACACATGCTCATATTTGAGGGACCCTCCCAATAAATCTTCTCCTTCTGCACCTGATTCTGAAGTAATTAAGAGAAAAATACAAAAAAGTGAGTATTTGAAGAATTAGAAAAGATCTTCTTTGTTCATTACAAAAACCATTTTTAGAAAATATGGCATACATCTGTAGGACTGTGAGCTTCCTAATTCTGAACTCCAAAAGAAGGCAGATTTGCCCATCTTGTCACAGGCAAGACTGGAAAACCGCAAACTTCCTGTGAAGAGATAGGGCCCCTTTCCTCAAAGGCAGTGCTCTGACACTCTTCTTGAGGCTGCCAGCTCTCCAGAAGAGGCAGTGAGCTGAATATAGGAACCCCATTTCCTCCCGCAACTGGCTAATCAGATGACTTGCCTTTGCTGGGAGGCCTAGGAAAGGGGATTGGGATTGGGAGGGAGCTAAAGTTTCCTTCACTTAAAAAGAAACATTTCCCATTTCACAGTAGACATTTGCTGTTTAACTGACTTCAAATTCATTATATTAAAAGCAGGGAGGAATACAGTTTGTTGACTTATTAAAATCATTGGCATATTTTGTTTTGGGGATAAAGTGTATATAAAATTGAATTGACGCATTCAAACAATAGCATTCTGCTCCTTCAAGTTCTTCTCACATGCAAAATGCATCACTCCATTTCAATAGCCGCAGAGTCTTAACTCTTTCCAACACCAACTCATAAGTCCAAAGTCCAGAGCCTCATCTAAATCAAATATGGAAAAAATAATAAATTAGGGGTGGTTGTAACATGATTAATTCACCTTCAAATGTGAGCCTGTGAAATTAAACAAGTTATCTAGTTCCAAAGTCCAAGGGCGAGACAGGCATAGGATGGACATTTTCATTCCAAAAGGGAGAAAAAGGAAAAAAGAAAAGAGTCATACATTCCAGGCAAGGCCAAAACTCCCAGGGCAAAGAATACTAAATCCTAAGGATTGAGGATAATCTTCTAGAACTCCATGTGCATTTGGGGCAAAGTGGAGTAAGGGTGGGGAACTCAAGGCCTTTTATGTGGAGTTCAGCCCACAAAACAGGTCTCCTGGGTCAGTCTCATGGTTTGAAGTTTCGTGGTCTAGCTCTCCCAGGCTGGTGATGCACTCTAGCTGCTCTATAGTTTTGGAGTCCCATAGGGCAGTCCCATTCCTAATTCAACACTAGGCATTGCCCTAGTGGGGACTCAATGCAGTGGTTCCAACCCTATGACAGGCTTCTTTCTGCCCAAGGTCCCAGGCATCTGATTTAGCCTTTGAAATCAAGGTGGAGGTATCTTTGCCCCCACAGGTTACAAACTTTATGTATTTGTAGAATTATCACCACATGGTCACTTCCTAGGGTTATTGCATTTGCTCTCCAGACCAGCAGCCCAAGCCATATCCAGCCTGCTTAAGCCATAGCTTGGTCAGCAAGGGAGCACTGGGCTGGAATTTAGGCAGCAGAGCTCTACAGTCTTGGGCCACAAATTCATGGAGGATGCTCTGTCTAGTCATACAGAAACCATTCTGCCTCCCTAGCTCACTGGGCTTGTGAGTGGGAGAGGCAGCCTCAAAGGCCTTGGAAATGAGCCAGGCATGGTGACACACAACTATAGTCCCAACTACTTGAGAGTTATGGTAGGAAGATCACTTGAATCCAAGAGTTTGGGACCAGCCTGGCAACATTGTGAAATTCCTGTCTCTGGGTGGGGGGTGGGGGTGGGGGATTCTGAAATGCCTTTGGGGTCATTTACCCATTGTCTTGATGAATGCCACCTGTTTTTCTTCTGGCCATACTAATCTTATCATCTCCTTATCACTTGGACACAAGCTTGGTTTTCACTCCTAAAAATGTTCCTTCATTTTCTAAAAACTTAAGAATCTTTCAAATCCCTAAATTATTTTTCCTTTTTAATTACAATTTCCATTTTAACATAAATTTTCTCTTATTTTATTCTATGCAGTTAAAAGAAACTGCATAGCTCTTTCAATATTTGGTTAGAAATTTCTTCCCCAGATATACTAGTCCTTTGATCTTTAATTCTGCATTCCATAAAGCCATCAGGCATGCACATTTTCAGGCAAACTCATTACCACTTGTAAAAAGGAGGGCCTTTATTCCAGTTCCCAATACCTTGTCCCTCCTTTCTGTCTGAGACCTTATCAGAATTGCTTTTATTAGAGCCAGGTGCAATGGCTCATACCAACTACTCAGTTGGCTGAGGTAGGAGAATCAAGAGTTTGAACCCAGCATGGCCAACAGAGCAAGATCCTGACTCCAGGAGAAAAAAGTTGCCTTTACCATCCATATTTATACTAACATTCTGATCATAACCACTTAAGTAATCCCTATGAAATTTCAGACTTTCCTACAATTCCTCTCTTCTTCTCAGCCAGAATCACCCTTAACACAATATAGGACTTTTCCTACCCGCTCTTTCAATTTCTACCTGTTACTCAGTTCCAAAGACACCTCCACATTTTTCTGCTAATTTTTAACAAAACCCTAATCCCGGTCCCAATTTTCTATCTTAGTCCATTTTGTGCTTCTGTAACAGAATACCATGGACTTGGTACTTTAACAGAAATTTATTGGCTCATGATTCCAGAAGCTGGGAAGTCCAAGATTGAGGGGCTAGCATCTGGCAAGGGCCTTATTGCTACATCATCCCATGGTGAAAGGACAAAGAAAAGAAAAGAGAGAGAGAGAGAGAGAGAGAGAGAAGAGAGTGAACCAAAAAAAGGGGGCTAAACTTGTGCTTTCATAAGGAACCCACTCCCACAGTAATAACATTAATCCATTCATGAGGGTGATGCTCCCACGACCTAGAATAGCACCCCACCTAGGTCTCACTTTCTACTATCACCACACTGAGAATCAAGTTTCCTACACATTAACTTTGGAGGACACATTTAAAAAAAAAATGTAGACTGAAGTTTAATTTAATGTCATCAATTTTAAAACAAAGAGAGCTGAGGATGTAGCTCAGTGGTAGAGTACTGGCTTAGCGTGCAGGTTTGGTCCCCAGCACTGCAGAAAAAAAAAAAAATGAAAAAGAAACAAACAGGAAAACAATGAAAGAAAGAACAAGTAAAAAGAAAAAAGAAACAAATTTGCAGCTGGGCAAATTTGCACCAGTGGGGCACACCTATAATTCCGTGGGAATTGCCAGGGATCCTGAGACAAAAAAATTTCACTGTGGGGGAAGGAGGATGAGGAGTTGGAGAAGCCAGACTGGAACAGATTGAAAAAGAGTTACAGAAGTGGAAACAAGGTGGACGGGGTGGGGCAAACCTGTAATCCCAGCAGCTTGGGAGGCTGAGGCAGGAGGATTGGGAGTTCAAAGCCAGCCTCAGCAATGGTGACGCACTAAGCAACTCAGTGAGAACGTGTCTCTAAATCAAATACAAAATAGGACTGGGGATGTGGCTCAGTGGTTGAGTGCCCCTTAGTTCAGTCCCCAGTACCCTCCCAAAAAGAAACAAATTTGCTTTTATATTCTCATAGATGAATTCATGCATTTACATTTGCCCTTAAAAAGTAGTATAGTATAAAAATTGGACTGGGGATGTGGCTCAAGCGGTAGCGCGCTGGCCTGGCATGCGTGGGGCACCGGGTTTGATCCTCAGCACCACTTAAAAATAAAGATGTTGTGTCCACCGAAAATTAAATAAATAAATAAATTCTCTTTCTCTCTCTTTAAAAAAATAATAATAAGCATATAATTTTAGCTATTGTACTTTATTGTGGTGCTGGAAATGAAACCCAGGGCCTCATGCAGGCTAGGCACCCACTCTACCACTGAGGTATCTACCCAACACACTATTTTATTTCTATTTCTAAATGCTCTAAGAGAATAAGGTTTTGTTTGCTATTTTTAAGCACTTCTCTGTGAGTAATACATTGCAGATATGGGTGGATTTTACTCCCAGTAAATATAAGGCCAAACTCTGTTTGTTTATTGTGGCGGTAGGGATATAGCATTTGTCTAGCATGTATAAAGCCCTAGGTTTGATCCCCAGCATCACACCCACACATTAAAATGTATATAAATTGGATTGTTTAAAGAAAAGCCAAGAGCTTCTTGTTTAAAATGGAACTCTAGCAAGCTCTTCTACATAATGAATTTTCAATACATATTATACAGCTATTTGTTCTCCCTCAACAATTGGGAAACATCTGTCTTAGAACCCATAGTCACATAAAGACATATTCTCAGGGGCTGGGGATGTGGCTTAAGCGGTAGCGCGCTCATCTGCCATGAGAGCGACTCGGTTCGATCCTCAGCACCACATACAAAGATGTTGTGTCCGCCGAAAATATTTAAAAAAAATTCTCTCTCCCCTCGCTCACTCTCTCTTAAAAAAAAAAAAAAAGACATATTCTCTAGCCTTATCTTAAAAATAAGATGAATTAATACAAAATTATTTAAAGAACTGATGATGATTTTTATCTGTAAGTTTTTTTCACTTTTAAACAAACTTTTTATGGCAACTTCATATCAACGTATCTCAATTTTGTTATTTATTTATTGTGGTGCAGAAGATTGAACCCAGAGCCTGTCATAGCTAGCCATATGCTTTTCCACTGAACTACAACCCCAGCCCCAGCTTCTCAATTTTAATTTAATTGTGTCCACCGAAAATTAAATAAATGTACTTACCAGTGCATTTTAAGTAATCAATAAATACCTGTTCAGGTATTCGGAAGGTGACTCAGTAATAGAGTGCTTGTGTGAAGCCCTGGGTTCCATTCCAAATGCTGTAAAAAGAAAAAAAAAAAGTTTGTTCAATGAATGAATGGCTTAATTAGTTAATTAAACACGAATTAAGCCATTAATTCATTAATAAAATAAAGATCATATCTAAACCTAAGCATATTCTGGTAGATGGGGAAGACTAGCAAAGTTCAGAGGATAAGTAACCATATCTTTTTTAAACTACCTGACCTTTTGGAACTAACAATTGAAAATGGGAATTTTCTGTTCTGTCCCTCAGTGCATCCGACAGTGAATGCAATCCCACATTTGTCTGTATAGTATTGCAGCTCTTCCATTTTATTGTGGAATGACTGTGAATAAGCACAATGCTCAATATCTTGTCATTAGACAGTCACACCACAGTCTCCCAAATCACTTAGAAACATTTCCCCTCCCACTCTTCTCAGTTCCTGTGGAGAGACCTACTCTAAACATGGAACTTGATAAGGGTGAAGGAAAATTCCAGTGACTGATACTTTATGTCCAGGAATTTTCAGAGGCTAGATGACTTCTGGTTTTAGACGGTGTTTTGTTTTTTTTTTTTTTTTTATTTAAAAAAAAAAAAATATATAAATATATATATATATTAGTTGTAGTTGGACACAGTACCTTTATTTTATTTATTTTTATATAGTGCTGAGGATGGAACCCAGAGTGCTAGGCATGCACTCTGCCGCTGAGCTTCTTTTCTTTATTTAGGGATTAGAACTTTTGAGAGTTCACTGTACAGTGGAAGATACAGAACAGAAACATGTTTGACTGGAATAGTGTCCTTTACCATTGGTGATGCCACACCTTAGTTGCTAAAGACACTGCTGCTGGGAAACATTGACAACTCCCCATCTCACACTCCAGCTTTCAGCTCTGTCAAGTTAAGCAGTTCACTTCTTCACACTGGAAGCCTAAACTTAAATGAGTTACAACTAACTTTTATGTAGATCAGAAAGGTGCATGAACAGGAAAATAGGTGAGTTGAAGGAGAAAGGAATCACTCCTTTCTATACAACTCCTTGGGTATAATTATAATTCTAAATGAATAAAGTAAATACATCAATACCAGGGCCTTTTTAAACAAAGTTAAGCTAGGTTACTGCCACTTCATTGATATAATTGCTTTCTTTAAAAAAGAAAAATGAGGGCTGGGGCTCAGTGGCAGAGCACTTGCCTACCATGTGTGAGGCACCGGGTTCCATCCTTAGTAACACATAAAAATAAACAAATAAAATAAAAAGAAAAGAAGATTAGCTTTAAAATGTCTATTGGAAGCCAGGAATAGTGGTGCATGCCTCTAATCCCAGCAGCTGAGGTAGGAGGATCACAAATTCAAAGCCAGCCTCAGCAATTTAGCTAGGCTCTAAGCAACTTAACGAGAATCTCTCTCAAAATAAAAAGGTAAAAAAGAGTGGGGATATGGCTCAGTGGTTAAGCATCTCTGGGTTCAATCCCTGGTACCAAAGAATAAAAAATACAATGTCTATAGGAGTATTGTGAGTTAGCTCAGTAGTACAGTGCTTCCAGAGTATAATCGAAGTCTGGGGATCTACCTGCAGCACTGAAGAAAAAACAAAATAGGAGGAGGAGAAAAAGAAAATAAACAAAAAAAATCTATTGACTATTAAAGTAGTACTTAGATAAATTGATGACCTCCTTAAATATTATTTTTCTTAGGAAATGCTTATATTCTTTCTAAGGCCGAGTAAAAGTAAGATTAAACATGAAATAGGCTATAGAAATATCACAGTGAATGGAAAAAGTTTTCACTCTGGGTGTGAAACTAAGTAAACAATGTTATGACTTCATTATTCGAAGTAGATAAGAATTAAATAGCTGTATATAATTAAACTCATAAAATACTCTAATTTTTAGTTACCCAAGACAGAAACAACTTACTTGCTTTCATCCAAAATGATCTGCATTTTTATCTACTTTTTTTTCATAAGTATTTAATGGTAAACAGTGTGACTGACATAAATCAATGTATGTTTTTTATGTCAGAATTGAATTGAAAGTCATTTTAAAAAGAAGCTGCTTTAAAAATGTGTACGTTGTAGTATGACATGATACCAAAGGGTTCATAATCATCTTACATACGCCCATTAAAAAAAAAAAGACATCTACTTTACCACTGATAACAATGTTAACATTAATCTCCTCTTCTTCACATTTTTGTAATTCTTATATTCTGTAGAATAAAATTCATTAATTGAGTTTATGTTGAAATGTATAAATTCCTAGTTCCATTGCATTTTATTTCAGCTCCTTTTTAAAAATTTTTTGTTTTAATTACTTACACATGACAGTACTATGACCTAGACTAAGCTCCTTTGAAGGGATCTAAGTCTCTGAGTTCAAATTGTCAAGCAAAAGAATATGATTGGATTGGATGTTCTGATCTGGTCCTGTCAGCTGTGGCTAGGAAAACAAGGTTTAAAAAGTATTAGGGCTGTCCCTTCCATGGACTCTGGGTAGGGCAGATTCTCCAACAAAGAAATGTAGATAGAGATAAAAGATCTAGCATATCAAGTTCTCAGGTACCAGATAGGTTTAATTAGACCTTCTAAGTAGTACTTTCTCAATCTTTATTTTTAAGTTGGAGGTTAAGGATCTGGAGGAAGAAAGGTCAAATCATCATTCTAAAAGAAGATAGGATTTTTCATGTGTATGTGGCAAGTATATTTGAATCTATTAAAAACTGGGATGCTAAGGCTTCTTGGTCCACAGTTACCAAGAAGCCAAGGTGTCTGGATTCCAGAATGAGTAGGAGCTTTGAGTGATCAACTAAAGCTGGTCACCAGTTGCCAGGATAGCTTTTGTTCTTCAGTTCCACATAAGGGTTCTCTCTAAGAGAGATAACATATTGATGGTGAAAGTTTATTGCTCCAGTTATCTCAGTTATTATCTTTCTCAAACAAGAACAGCATTAAAAAAATGAGTCAGAAATAGAACTTAAACAATTCTTTAACCTGTATGATTAAAAACAACAACAACAGCAACAACAATTAGGCTGGGATGTAGCTCAGTGGTAGAATCCTTGCCTAGTGTGCATTAGGACCTAGGTTCAATCCCTTATATTCCAAAAAGGAGAAAAAAATTTTTGAACAATCACACTTTACTTCTGATTTTTGAAACCTGTAGTGATCACTTGCTGTGACAACTTGAAATCCTTCCTGTAAAACATTATATATTGAGCTTATCACAATGCCTAGAAAGAACTATAGATACTGCCTACTACAGGTATAGAGTTCTCAGTTTAAAATAATCAGGCTTGCTGGTTGTGGTGGCACACACCTGTAATCCCAACAACAGGGGAGGCTGAAACAGGAGAATCTCAAATACAAAGCCAGCCACAGCCACTTGGCAAAGCCCTGAGTAATTTAGCAAGACACCATCTCAAAATAAAAAATAAAAAGGGCTGGGGCTGGGGTTGTGGCTCAGTGGTAGAGCACTTTCCTAGCATGTGTGAGCACTGGGTTCGATTCTCAGCACCACATATAAATAAAGAAATAAATGTCCATCAACAACTAAAAAATATATTTTAAAAATTGTAAAAAATAAAAAATAAATAAAAAGGGCTGAGGATGTAGCTCAGTGGTTAAGCATCCCTGGGTTCAATCCCCAGTACCAAAAAGAAAAAGAAAAAAAAAATAATAAAATAATAATACAGTGGTAGAGCACTTGCCAAGCATGTGTGAGGCACCGGGTTCAATTCTTAGCACCACATAAAAATAATAATAATAATAATAATAATAATAATAATAATAATAATAATAAAATAAATAGATAAAGGTACCGTGTTCATCTACAACTAAAATTATTAAAGAAGAAATAACACTTCTGCATTTTATTATATTGTGTACATGTAGAACATGTAACAACAAATCCCATAATCCCGTCATTATGTGCAACTATAACACACCAATAAAAAAATGTGGAAAGAAGAAATAACAGTTCGGAGAACTGGAAATGTAGCTCAATGGTAATGTATTTGTAATGTATGTGTGAGGTCCTAAATTCAGCCCTCAACACTGTAAGAAAAGGAAACGAAAAGGGGAGGGGGGGAGAGGGAGAGAGGGGGAGAGAGAGAGAGAGAGAGAGAGAATGCTCAAAAATAGTAGGGTAAAAGTGCAAAAGAAAAAAATATTAAAACTCTTCAAAGAGGCTTTTTGTCTAAATACTTTAAAACTGAAACAATAATCTGGGAATGATGCTGCATGGCTCAGTGGCAAAGTGCCCCTAGGTTCAATCCTCAGTACTATTAAAGAAAAAAAAAAGTGTTCGTGAACCACATAAAATTTGCAAATAGCACATCACCAATTCTTTGCTTACTGAATATTTAGCTACTGATAAAAATGAATAAGAAAATTATGTTAGCATATTTTACCAGAACAAATTGCTTAAAAATGGCTTCGTCCATTTCCATTAAGTTCATTGTCTAGCTTTTCTTATTCTTTTGTCTGCTATTAAATATTTAATTCATCATCACATAGTTTACTATATTTTGAGCCTCTTATTCTCTCATATTAGTTTCACATCTTCTATTTCTTGTCCTTCACCTGTGTCTGATAAGCTAAAATACAATACAGAACATTAAGGAAAGCCATTCCAAATAAAACTGCATTCTTACTTTTGGCATTATCACCTCTGATTCATATTAGTCACATCAAAGAAGTCGAACAGCTTTGGGGATAGATTGTATCTGGGCACTTGTGTTTCACAATTTTATGTCAAATATCTCAGGCATTACAGTGTTGTTCCTTTACTCATTAGTTTCCCTTCTATTTCTTCTGTATTTTGCAGAATAAATATCTTTATATGGTGTTTTACACTTTCCAAAACACTTGTCTCAGTGAAGCCCCAAATGGCCTTGAGTACTAGAACTCACATTTACTTACGTTGGAGAAAACCATATTTTCAATGCCAATAATATGACAGATTTATGATAACCAGTGGTGTTCAGGTAGATGTTTAACAATCACCTCCATAAATCCTGATTGTAGAGTTTGACAATTTCACTGAAGTAAATGCTTCCACCATGATCACTTTCATTCCACCAATGTGATGTCAACTGACTCAAAATTTCTGAGAATATAACAATCAGCTTTTCCCCCCTTTTTATTGGCACATTATAATTATACATAACTGTGGTATTTGTTATAATATATTCATATGTGCACACAATAAAACAGTATAATTTGATCAGTTTCATTCCCCAGTACCCCCTTTTCCTCCCCTCCCTCCTCCTGATTCCCTTCTTCTATTCTACTGGTCTCTCTTCTATTTTTTTTTTATTTGTTCTAATTAGTTATAC